CCTGGAGGTTGGCCTGAACTGACTTAGCCAATTGCTCCATTCGGTCCCGGAGCTCCAGTACGTAAGGCACGATGGGGACCCCAGCGTTCTCTGTCTCTCCCTCCCAGTGCTCACGGATCAAGTTCAGGGGACCCCGTAACTTGCGACTGTATAACAGCTCAAAGGGAGAGAACCCGGTGGTTTCCTGGGGCACTTCCCGGTAAGCGAACAGAAGGTGCGGCAGGAAACGTTCCCAGTCCCTATACTCCTGAGTAAAGGTTTTTAACATCTGCTTGAGGGTTCCGTTGAACCGCTCACATAACCCATTGGTCTGGGGGTGGTATGGAGAGCTAAGCAGGGATTTAATTTTGCAAACGTGCCAGAGCTGCTGGGTCAGCTCTGCCGTGAACTGTGAGCCTCTGTCGGATAAAATCTCCCTAGGGAATCCTACCCGAGAGAATACCTGCACTAAGGCATTAGCCACTGTGTCTGCCTGGATATTGGATAAAGCCACAGCTTCTGGGTAGCGGGTAGCGTAATCCACTATGGTAAGAATGTATCTCTTGCCAGAGGGACTAGGGGTGGCCAGGGGCCCAACTAAGTCGATGGCTACCCGGCTAAATGGCTCGTCGATAATGGGCATGTTCACGAGATGTGCCTTAGGGTGGTCTCCTCGTTTGCCTACCCGTTGGCACACCTCACACGTATTACAATAGGACCTTACATCGGCATGTACTCCTGGCCAGAACAAGGTATGGGTAATACGGTGTAGGGTACGTGTTACTGCCAAGTGCCCGGCTAAGGGAATATCATGACCCACCCGGAGGATATCCCGCCTATACTTGTGGGGTATCACTAACTGTCTCCTTCGGTGCCCCTTTTTCTCTGTGTGTCGGTACAGTCGACCCTGTTCCCATGCAAAAGTCTCCTGGTCTGTTCCCCCAGCCCCGGTGTCGGCTCGTTCCCTATATTTTTGGAGCGTCGGATCAGTTTTGGTCTCAGCCTCGAAGGCTGCAGGGGTGTCCCAGGGCAACGGGGTAGGAGGGGGGGTCACAGTCGGGTTAAGTCTTACCTGCGTCTCCCGCACTGGTGAAGGGTCTCGGGCTCGTCCAGCTTGTGACCGGGTCGTCACAGGATGTGCCTCAGCATTGTAGGACGGGGCATAAGCTGAAGTCATAGGTCCCAGGTCGTTTCCCAGCAAAACTTCGGCTGGCAAATTATCCATAATTCCCACCCTCACAAGTCCTTTTCCCGCACCCCAATCCAAGTGTACCTTTGCCGTGGGTAGTTTGTATATGTCCCCTCCAGCCACCCGGACAGCCACTGTGTCAGGCGAGCGTTTGTAGTCGGGGACTAACCGGCTTTGCACCAAGGTGATCGTGGCCCCGGTATCTCTTAACCCCTGTGTGGGACGCCCCTCCAGTAGTACCTCTTGCCGGTGGTGTTGTCTATTGTCGCTGGCGGCATACACAGGATTCGCTTCATGTAGGGGTCCCAGGTATTCTTCTAGAGGACTGTCTTGTTCTAGGCAAAACACTCGAGCTGGACGATTGTTTCCCGTTGGAGAAGAATTATAGTTCCGTGCGGGGTAATTGTTGTTAAGGGGGCAACTCGCTATCAGGTGCCCCGGCTGCTTGCACTTATAACATGTGGGTCGGGAGCGTTCCTGAGGGTAGTGGCTGGGTGGTCCCGTGTACCGTGTAGGACCTGCGGGTACAGGGTTGCGAAACTCCGTTCGTGGAGTTGATCGGTATCCCTCTCTTGCTTCGGGGCGAGTTACCGTTCGGGCATTGTTGAACTCCTGTACTTGCGCATCCCGGTGTTCGTCTGCCAACCGGGCTGCTTCGTGTAGGTTAGCGGGACGCCGGTCTTTCAACCACTCCCGGTCTTTTTGTTCTAGACCCTCATAAAAATGCTCTAATAAGAAAAGTTCCAATATTTCCGCGGCCGTGACGGCCCGACACCCGGTAATCCAATGGGTTGCAGCTCTCCGCATACGATGTGCCCATTCGGCATGGGTATCATTCGCTTTTTTCTTCGTGCTGCGGAACTGCCTTCGGTAGGTGTCTGGGGTCACAGCGTACCGTTTCAGCAGCGTCTCTTTGACTGTGGTGTATTGGGCTACCTCTTCGGCGCTGAGGGTTCTGAAGGCTTCCATGGCCCGCCCGGTTAATTTTCCTGCCAGGATACGCGGCCACGCTGTGACGGGGATCTGATGCAGGGCACATTGTCTTTCAAAATCGGCCAAAAATTCGTCTATCCCCATCTCATTCTCCGCGAACGGTTTGAATGCCGCGAACGGGATCTTTGGCTGTTCGGTAGTTTCCAGGGGGCCGTTGTGGCTATCAGCGGTCTTCATGCTCAGCTCGTGGGCTCTAGTCCGCTGTACGTCTGCCTCGGCTTCGGCCATTAGTTGCTGTATCAGCTCCACGGATGGGTTTGGTCCGTACAGAGGCAGCCTTTCTCGGACGATCCTGGTCTTCTCATCGCTGCATGTTGCCGTTGGTTCTGTCATTGTGAAGCTTTGATCCAACTCGTTAAGGTCGGCAATCAATTCTCTCCTCGGCCGATTACTTGCGTTCCCTCCCCGGCTCTCGAGTAAATCCTTTAACGTGGTACGCTTTAGTTTGTCGTAGTTACTCTCCATCCGTCCTAGATATCTCTCTTTAGGAATTCCAGGATGATCCCGCCGCTGCCACCAATTGTTACGATTGCCCCCGGTCTAGCAGGGGGGTTGATCGCTTGGATGTCCTGGTTCCCGCTGCAGAGAGTCGAACGGAGGTCTTTCGGTAGTCGGCTGTAAGTGTAGAATATCCCCAAGCACGATATAAGCATCAATATCCCGGATCCCTACAACATGAGTCGAGGCTGCAAGTTGAGGGTCAAAACGAACTGGCTTTACTGGCACATAGCATGGCAATTTATGTGATTCCTCAGGTCCAAGGACAGCCCCCTGTGGACCTGATGGAATACAGGTACAGTGCAAACAGGTAACCAATCACAGTACACTGTATTATTTGAATTAGTACCCGCCTAGCTTGGAGATAATGAGGCCAACGGTTTTACAATCTAATTATCTCCAAGCGCACAAAAGACCACGTTTTATTATGTCCCAGAAAACTACCTAAAAATCCATAACTTGTACATTATTACAGGAAAACCATTCATTCCACCATTCATTTGAAGGCTCGCGTTCGTATAGATAAACCAGGCGAATGCCGCTCTAATCCCACGAACAGAATGTACTGTTTCTGCCGTATAAAGTCCGTTCGGCATTTCGAGATGGTTAGTCTTTGTTGGCGGCCATGTTTTCTGCTGGTTTAGCGAGCAGCGGGACTTCGTGTCTAACTCGTGGAACTAAACTCGGTATCAGTTCCTGCAAAGTCCCGCTGTCGGGCTGGTAGTGGGCTCGTTCGGTAGGGGAATGAGGACCACCTGGGAGCAGGGTACTTGACCTGCGGTTAACCGCAGAAACCACAGTTAATGAGCGCCACGCGACCCGCTGTAGGGGGTCGTCGTTCGGTGGATCGTTCGGTATTTTCCCTTCGGCACTTTGGGTGCGAACGTCGATGCCCCCGGGCCTACCAATTACATTGTGGTTAACCGCAAACCGCAGCCATCTGGGTGGTTAATGGCTACCACACTCCGCGAGCCGGGGGGCCGCCCGTTCGGTAGTTTGCGGGGTGACGGGGTTAAGTGGCGGCACACGCCAGTTTCTGGGGGGTCCCCCGTTCGTACCACGAATGGAGCCTCCCTAAGAGTTCGTGTAATCCATTCGTGTGGTTTTCTGTTTAACTTATGTAGTGGCAAACAGTATCAATCAGTGAGTAAAAACAGCAACATGGTGATTTCCAGTCTTTTGTAACATCGGTCCCATCTCCACCTGCCATCTGTGGGTCTCTCCAGGACCAGTCTATGAGGTCTCCTACTTCTGCAGCTGGTAGTGAAGCAGGGGGTACCTCAGCCGCATTTCCCCAGCTGTAGGCTAGCAGGTATGGGTCCACCACCCAGTCTTCCCGGTCTGCGTCCATGCTCTGCGGCTGGCATGAATTTAGTAGTTCCACATAGTCCATCTCCAGCTCTCGTTCCATGGCAGCGAAACGGCGGAGGTCTTCTCCCAGTCCAATAGATCTCGGGCCCTATAACATCTCACCTCGGTAATGCAAGATAGCCCAGTACCGTGACTCTGCTGGACTGCCAAAGTCGACGTCTTCCGCTGGTGGGGAGCTTAGTGTCTCCCCTTGGTGGGCTACGCTGCTGCTGGGGAGAGGGGGTAACAAACTCCTCTCCCTTACACACTTTCAGCCGCTGGGGAGAGGGGGTAACAGGCTCCTCTCCCTGACACTCTCTCTGCTGGTAGAGAGGGGAACCGACTGTCTCCCCTTCCAATAATGCGCTTTGCCGCTGGGGAGTGAAACCAGTGGTCTCTCCTCCCTGTAATGTACTCTGCCGCTGGGGATCTGGGCTGACTGCCCAGCATCCCTGTAGGGCCAGTAGAGAGATCTCGGTCCCATCTCCACCTGCTATCTGTGGGTCTCTCCAGGACCAGTCTATAAGGTCTCCTACTTCTGCAGCTGGTAGTGAAGCAGGGGGTACCACGGCCGTGTTTTCCCAGCTGTAGGCTAGCAGGTCTGGGTCCGCCACCCAGTATTCCCGGTCTGCGTCGATGCTCTATGGCTGGCATGAATTTAGTAGTTCCACATAGTCTATCTCCAGCTCTCGTTCCATGGCAGCGAAACGGTGGAGGTCTTCTCCCAGTCCAATAGATCTCGGGCCCTGTAACATCTCACCTTGGTAATGCAAGATAGCCCAGTACCGTGACTCTGCTGGACTGCCAAAGTCGACGTCTTCCGCTAAGGCCTTCCACAACAGGCCAGGGTTAGTGTAGTTCTCCCCCTCCGGCGGATGCCCTCTGCCCTGTGATACAATTACATTACACAATGGGTAATGTAATTAGCACAGGCAGAGAAATACAGTTTTTCCACATTATTCATAACTTTAAAAGTATGCATTACATTCACCTACACCTTTAGCAGTCGGATAGCTAGCAGGAAGATCGGCCGCTTCTTCCACGCCAGCACCCCCATGTAGGCCGCAGTTGTGTGCCGAGAACAGGTTGCTCATTTTGTGTCCAGGAGTCTTTCAGGTGTTGCAGAAGTAAAGCCTGCTTTTGCCTGCTTTCAGGTAGTCGAGTTTGCTAATGTAAAGGTTCTGAATTAGGGCTCTGCTGGAGTGTTTTACACAGAGCACACTCTGCATGCGGCCATCTCGGTTGGCAGCCAGGCTCCGCCCTCCCCTTTCAAAAAATTTTTATGTTAAAGAATCCACATATTATAAGATATATATATATATATCTCATTTTATTTTAATTTTATTTTTTGTATTTTTGCTGTGCATGTGAATAATACATACAGACCTGCGGTACCCCAACAGCATTCCACAGGTTTAACATTTGTGGTACAATTTGGGGTATGAGTGTTTAAGCACATTTTTATAATTTTATGATGACATGAGAGGTTTCTGTCTTGTCTAAATGGCGTTATACAGGCTGTGTGGAGTGTGTGTGGCTTGGTTAGACAACTGGCTAGGTATGATACGAGTAGGTGAGTAAACTGCTTAGACACACTGAGATCTAGACATATCGAGTAACCAGTCCTTGCTAAACATTTTGCGTATGTGCACATTTTCTTAGCTAGTAGATTTATCAGTGTGCGATTTGTATTAGCCAGGTTGACTGCATGTTTGCCTAATGTGCCTAATTTGTGTATTAGATGATTTGCATGGAAACAAAAAGAAAAAGGATAGTGAGAAAAAAAAAACTCTCTCATTGAGTCAGTCTGAGTTGCATCAGCCGATGCCCGATCTGTAGGCCTTGCTTGCTTGCTTGTTGTGGACGGAGGTTGTTCATCTCCGGGCCCGTTCCTGGTGTGGAATTTCTCCTGTTGGGTCTATGGTTGCATGCTGGCGAGTGATCGGGTCAGACGTCTCTGGCGAGGGAATCTCTTGCTTGGATTACGTCTTGATTGGGTAGTGCCGCAGTGGTTCGGAGTCGGGGGACCTCTCCCACCCTGGGGCTGTGGGAGAGCTGGTGCTTGCAGGCCGTGAGCCTGGGAGCCATCGTGGCCCAGGTTCGACCCCTTCGGGGTAGTGCGGGGAGTCTTGCCAGGTCGCTTGGGTAGTCTCTACGCTGTACTCCGCCGGTTTGGCCAGCACCTCTGGGGCGAGCCCCTTTCTGCTCTCAGCCCAGGAGGGCCACGATTGTGTGAGTAAGTCGCGTGGGTTTTTTGGTGACCATGTTGAGGGCCCCTATTCTTCCGCCTTTGTCTCCAGGCCTCGTGGGAGAGTATCGGCGAGGCTTTTCAGGCTGTAGGTGTGCCTGTAACTTGGCCCATAAGTGTTCAAAGATTATGGTTATGGGGTCTCTGGCTGAGTACCCGGTGTCTGCCGCTCCAGGGTGATGTCACTTGTTGGTCTCTATTTTTTCCGCTTTAGCCGCCATCTTGGATGCATCCGTCTCCCTCTCGCTTGTGGAGGTCTGATTGCCTGCCGGTAGGTGCGGGATTCGGCGCTGTCTGCATTGCGGGGACCGGGATATCCCCCGCCGGTCCATGGGGGGGGGCGTGGTTTGCACTTGTGCTTTGCGTATGGCGTCTGGCGGGAAGGCGGCCGTCCTTCCCCCGTGCCTCCACTAGGCCTCAGCTCATTGCCGCGTTTCCCGGTTGGGTTGGGCGACGTGTGGTGTCGGCATGACCATGGCTTCTTTCTCTTGCCCAATAGGCTGGTGTGTGAGTGTGTCGCAGCTTTCGGTTTCGGGATATCCGCCGAGTTTGGGCCAGCACTGCAAGAGCTCGTGTGGAGTGCGTCTTGTCAGTTGCTTGGCTCCGCCTCTCCTATCTCATTTTTTTTAAATTTATTTTTTACAAAACCCTGACAAATATACCTACATAATTCTTGCAAAGCTTAAAGCTGTGGGGTCATTTCTACCTTAAGAGACTCACAGACCCAAATTTCTGCAACTTTCCAAATTCATTTTACAGCTTGTGCTGTCTCGCAATGTGACCTTCCAGCAGTCTGCAGGCAAGGCTCAATGCTACTCCATCATACCGAATATACAATTATATTATAAAATCTGACGATAACTTACCACTTTGCATTCCAATATTTTGACATGCCCTCTACTAGTTTGTACAGCTGCGTAATTCCTTTGATGGCTTCGGGTTTTGGGAGCTCGTGAAATATTGTTTTCCAGAATTGAATCATATCCCAGCATGCAGACTTCACTCTTAGCAATAATAAAAGACAGAAATACAGCTGTGTCTCATTTGTTGTTACGGTCCCTAGCAGTAAAGGCACAATGAGAAGTTGGAGCCAGAGAGCAATGGCGCCTACTAAAAGTTAATCGCTAGCTGCTAACTTTGTTTTTAAAATTTTTATAGAATTCAGAAGGTGCTTTATGGCTCCTAAAAACATTTAAAATATAAATAACCTTATCAGCTGCTCAATATCTCCTAATGTTTAAAAATATTGTCAGTCCATGTCCCAGCGAACCTGTCATACAGAAATTACATTATGATGTACTGTAGAAAATAGTTAATAAGTTAAATCGTAATAATAATAATAATTTTTATTTTTCATTACTCCCTTTTATCATCCTTTAGTTTATAACAATTTTCGAGGTCAGAATTTATGGCTGCATTTTGGTATATAGAAAGAGGAGAGAGATTTTATAGTATACAATAATGATTTTTTTCAGGCTGAACCAGGAGGTTGCAGTGCCCTGTAAAGCTGCACTTACTGTATAGGACATTACGTCCTACAAATCACATTCGGCTCCTCAGAAATACCTATAAGCATATTTATCGGTTATTGACTTGTCTTCTGTATGTTACATACACATTATGCTGTGTCTTTTATTTATTTTATTTTTTTAATTCTTTATTTTTGACTCGGGTCATGATCTCAGCATAAAAAAGTTAAACGTTACAGAATAAAAAACAACATAAGCATGTCATAAAACATTTACAATAGTGCATAACAGACCGGTTAACTCGCATGTAGTGGCCTTGGGTCATGAGCTGAGGGAATTTAATTTAGGGTAGTGGGAGTCAGCGCTTATCGGAAGCCTAGTGTGTCTGGAGGTATGGTCTTACAGCCGGTGAGTCTGGCGTTGCTAAGAGTTTTTAGGCTGATTGTGCTACTAGTACAATGATGATGTATACCACATTACTTGGGGGGGATGGGGGAGGGGACGTTCTAACTACTTATGAACAAGAACTTTGGAGAGAGGAGAGTCCCGATTGCCAAAAACGGCATGCCTGTGTAACCAGAGGGCTGTTCATAGGTAAATATTAGGTAGCTATTAGTCCCGGTGTTCTTCAGGTGACGGTTGCTGTAGATGTTCCCGCTCCAGCCCGTCGGGGGACGAATAGTGTCACTGTTGTGGGGTCACTCTTTGTTGGCCATGCCGCTGGGTGGGTTAGTCCCACAAGGGATAGGGTTGCCTGTTGCAGCCCCAGGGTTGGCAAGAGATCTTTGGCCACTTGCATGTCTTGGATTTTGAATGAAGGGTTGCCATGGTGGATCAAAAGTGCCCAGGGTCGCCTCCATTGGTATGTAATTTTATGTAGGCGAAGGAGAGCCGTGAAGGGTTTCATCGTGCGGCGCCAGGCCAGAGTCGGCCCTAATAGATCAGCATAGAATGAGAGATGCTTACCCTCAAACACATATGGCGTCTGGGTTCTTGACGCTTGAAGGACCGCTGATCTGTCTCTGTGGCTCAGGAAGCGCAACTAGGAGGTCTCTCGGTGCTGCAGCTGGGGCTTTAGCTGGACATGGGAGACCCCCTTGGGCTGCTTGTTTGGCATGTTTTGAGGGCAAGAGAGCGGCCAACAGGTGCCGTATTAAGTGCGGTACCTCCGCCTCCGGTATCTCCTCACCGATGCCCCTGATCTTGAGGCTCAGGCTTCTCCTCTGATCTTCCAGTTCTGTGAACCGCTGGTCCGTTTTGTGAGTCTGCTGTTGCAGGTCTTGCACTGCTTTGTGTAGCTGCGCTGTGTCTTGCGTGTTTCGGCGGGATTCTGCTTCCAGCGTGCTCAGGTAGCCTGTCAAACCTTGCAGGTCTCCACGGATCTGGGCCATGTCAGCTTGAATGGTGAGTTGAAGATCTGCTAGGAGTTCTTTCATCACCGCTGTGGTCATGGGAGATGTGTCTGCTTGTGGGTGAGTCTGGAGAGGAGCTTTCAAGAAGGGTGAGTGGTGTAGTTCAGCCCCGCTTGTGAAATATCCGATATTTCGGAACAGTCGTCGGCGTAGTTAGCCATGTTTGTGCCCATGTTGTTGCAGACCTGCCACCATAGGTCTCTGATATTTCCGCTCAGCTGAGGCTTATTGGGCTTGGCCTTTTTTAGTTTTTTGGCCCACATCTTCACTCCTCGCTATAGGTGCTGGTTGGTGCAGTTTGTAAGGGGTTTGTGCCACGTTAGAGGGTCTAATGTTGTTTGATACAGAGCTTCGATTGCATGCGGCCATTCAGGTCCGTGGCTTCTATGCTGTTTCTTTTTGCACCCCCTTTTTGTTTTTTTAATGAAGCACCATATTTGTGACCAAGGCCTATTACGAAATTTTGCCATGTGTGCATTCTACAATTATTTCCCAATTTCTGTCTAAGTGCACCCATACATATTGTATATCTTTTTATATCAAAGGAGAAATAGGGCTTTCTTTTGTATCCCAAACACAATATGAAATAGTAATAAAATATTTTGAAAATGCGATGGGGGGTTAAGCCACATTTATTCTCATGTTTACATTTAATGATTTCTATACAAGTGCAAATAAAGAGAACGAACTCAAACTAGATTCAGTAATTAGTCCTGATTGTTAAAATGCCCAATATGTCTAGGATTTCAATTTTTTTTTTTTAAGTTATAAAGCAAATACTGCAAGGATTTGACATGCCGAGATTTCAATTTTTATATTAGTCACAGAATCAAAAACCTCTACACAAAAGTATACATTTGTAGAAATACCCCAGGTTTTGTAACTAAGAGTTGTTTGACACTTTTCATTTAACAATTTTATTACAAACCTAGGTCAAAATTCACAGACCATGCAAACACCTCATAATTGAATTCTGCTACTGTTCTTGAGTACGGTATCCCACATGTATACATTTTCCCTTAATCCTCTCCCTAATGCTAAATTTGTTTCCTAATCAAAACCCTAATTTAACCCGTAATCCAAACCATAACCCACCCATTATCTAACCCCTA